GGATCGCCAGAGCCCAGCAGGTTGAGGCTGCAGTGGCCGAGAGCGGCCCCTGCACTCCCCGTCTGGGCAACAGAGTAAGACTCCAACTCAAAAAACAAAACAAAACAAAAAAAACTGAAACCTAAAAAAGCTACAGATTGGAAAACGAACTGAACAAGATTAAAAACACTTTACAGAAAGTGTCAGCTCACTTAGATGAGAGCTAAAACCTTTCCTGTCTTCTTTAAACATATACCAAAAATTTCAATAGAATTTCTTTTGTTTTATTTTAAAGTTTCAATCTTTTTTTTTTTTTTTTTTTGAGTTGAAGTCTCACTCTGTTGCCCAGACGGGAGTGCAGTGGCCGCTCCCAGCCTCCGAAGCCTCGACCTGCTGGGCTCCGGCGATCCTTCTGGTCAGCCTTCCAAGTAGCTGGAACTACAGATGCGTGCTACCATACCCGGCTAATTTTTTTTAAAATTTATTTTAGATATGAGGTCTCGCCAAGTTGCCCAGACGGGTCTCAAACCCACAGGCTCAGGGAATCCACTCACCTCAGCTTCCTAAAGCACGGGATTACAGGCTGAGCCACTGAGCCTGGCTAGTTTCAATTCTTAATACTGCACCTGAGCACTAATATACTGATATACAGAAAATCTAAATAGATAAAATATAAAATTATTTCAAGAAGTAATAAATGAAGCTTTTAGAAAACATTATTTTATTTCACACTAAATCATTAATTATTTCCTTAGAAGTTGGAAGAAAACTGCTGCTAAGGGCACATTGAGAAACTCTATTAGCGGAATTTACACCAGAATGATAAAATACGATATCTGTAGCCACTACCTGAAAATATCTTCAAGTATACTAGGACATTCCTTCTTCAAAAAACCCTTCCTGTCACACTGCAAAAAACAGACATACATACAGATGACTTCTAAGGAGAAACTGTTGAAGAGTAAAATAAGAAAAATGAAATTGAAAAGCACACTGCAGGCCTTGTAATTATTGCTAAAAAATGAGCACATTACATCAACTTGTAATGGCTTTTATTAGTGGCTTAATCTATTCAATTAAGGATAACTTGCAATGATGAAAAGAATACCAAGATTGTTTTTTACAATTCCACCTACCCAGTCTAAAGTTAATAAAATAAATTAAATGTAATCTTTGCTTCTCTCAAGTAGACCGTACTTACTTAACTTGCTAAACAGAAACTTTATATCAGGGTTTATCCTTAGTAATTACCTACCTTCAATGTCAACTTACTAGTTTTCATCAGATGCTGAAACTGAATTTCTGCCAGTATCAAATTCTTGAATCTTATCTGCCTTAACACTGTGAATATTTTCAGGTTGTCAAGTTCACTGGAAAATCAATAATTAACAAAACTCTCGGACACAATGACGAGGTCACAAAAAGTATATTTTTGACCACTATTTGTGTAGGACCTACAAAGTCTAAAAACAAGACCCACCTGTCTGCCAGGAAGGAGTCCTAAACTGTGGTAAGACAGCAGATGCTGGGGCCGGAGCCTGCGCAGCCCGGGACTCCACAGCAGAGAGGAAGCTCATCACGGGAGACGCTTTCGTGTTGCTGCTGGCGCTGTTCACACTGTTCTCAAACACTCCAGAAACACCTGCATTGGGAGATCAGATACAATTCAAAGTAGAAACACATATTTACAGAAAAGCATACTCCTCACTTCATTTCAAAACTTCTGAAAATGAAGGCCAAACAATGTGACAACCCTAAATGGTTTTACTTTGAAACAGCAAACATATTCATTTGACTAAGCATATTTATAATCTAAGATCTCTGAACTTATTAATTATATAGATACTCCCCATCAGTAAATAGCAAAGCTCTTCATCTCATTTTTCTTTAGCATTTCCCATGGCATGGGTACACTCTACACATCCATAACCCAACATGTAAGGATGGACTCGTCTTCTTATTCCCTAAATGTACCCAGACTTGGCTATTTCACAAGCGATTGTTAGTTACCGGCAGGTTGAGGCGTAGGGGCATATCCAGGGAGCTGATGAGAGGCCACAAAAGTCTGTCTCTGAAGGAGCTCTGTTTCAGAGGGTGAGGGCTGTCCTTCTTCATAGCTTAAACTAGAGGATAGTAAAAATCAGTAAGCAAAAAACACACAGCCCAAACCAAACGATCACAACATTTCTAGGAGAGCAACTATCAAAAGCTACAACCCTCTGACCACCTTCCTGACCTATAGATCAAACACATATGACAACACTGTCAGATGGGAAGATATGTTGCACTAGGAAGAAAAAGAAGACATGGTCTTTCTTTCTTCGTTATTATTTGTTTCTTTAGTTGAGGACTCACTCTGTCGCCCAGGCTGGAGTGTAGTTGCATGATCACGGCTCACCACAGCCTCAAACTCCTGGGCTCCAGTCCTCTTTCCTTAGCCTCCCAAGTCGCTGGGACTACAGGTGTGCACCACCAAACCCGACTATTTTTTTTTTTTTATAGCGACGAGGTCTCATTATGCTTGCCCAGGTTGGTCTCGAACTTCTGACCTGTTGCCTGAATTGGTCTCGATCTCCTGGGATCAAGCCATCCTCCTATCTCGGCCTGCCAAAATGCTGGGATTACAGGAGTGAGCCACTGCACCCAGCCCATAGTATTTTCCTTAATTCAACTTGACCTCCAAGGAGAATCCTTTCACTGGGAGAAGCACAGTAGCGAGTGCAACATCCTGGAAAGCAGGAGACTTAATGTGTTGCCCAAGCTCTCCTTCTGGCTTATAGTGCAATTTAAATAAATTGGACTAATTTCTTTTTCTGTATAAGAAAGGGGACCACACAAAATAATCTCTAGGTGGGTATGATGGCTCAAGCCTGTAATCCCAGCACTTTGGGAGGCCGAGGCGAGAAGACTGCCTGAGTCCAGGGGTTCGAGACCAGTCTGGGCAACTTGGTGAGACCTCGTCTCTACATTAAACCAAAAAATCAGCCAGGCATGGTAGCATGCGCCTGTAGTTCCAGCTACTTGGAAGGTTGAGGCGGAAGGATCGCCTGAGCCCGGCAGGTAGAGGCTGTGGTGGCCATGAGCGTGCTACTCACTCCACCCAGGGTGACAGAACCCCACTCAAAAAAAAAATCTCTAAAGACCCTTTAATAATCTAACATCCTGTGGAATATCAGATAATTAAAATTAATTAACACTATTTCCCAATAACTCACCTATACAATTTCAAGCTCAAACATTTTGAGGGTAGTTCAGAACAAAACACTTTTTCCTTCTCTTCAATTTTATTTTAAATATATATTTTTTTTAGTTGGAGTCTCACTCTGTGATCCAGACTGGAGTGCAGTGGCCTCTCCTGGTCACCACAGCCTCGACCTGCTGGGCTCCAGCGATCCTTCCGCCTCAGCCTTCCAAGTAGCTGGAACTACAGGCGCGCACTACCATGCCCGGCTAATTTTTGATTTATTATAGAGATGAGGTCTCGCCAAGTTACCCAGGCAGGTCTCGAACCCGCGGGCTCAGGCAATCCACTCATCTCAGCTTCCCAAAGCACTGGGATTACAGGCTGAGCCACCGAGCCCGGCTTATTTTGAATATTTCAGGACCCCAGAAAAATCACAACAGTGCAATGAACACCCGTGTTCCTATCACTGAGGATTCAGCAATTATTAACATTTTATATGTTCCTCTTTCTCTATACACACATCATACTTTTTTTTGCTAAATCACTTGAAAATAACTTGCAGTCATCATGACACTGCATCCCTGAATACTTCAACTGGACCTCCTAGGAATAATGACATTCTCTTATATAACCAGATATCCTTAGTAGACCTGAAGGAACTTAACATTAATTCGACAATCATGTAATATAGGTCATACTCCAATTGTTGTTAAACGATTGAGATTCTTAAGCTCTAATTAGGAGTTGATCAAAATTCAAGAATTTCACTTGATTCTTACAACAATATCTTTAGAACAGTAGATGTTCTTAATTTTAATCAATTTTTAAAATTTATCAACTGAGCCAGGCCCAGTGGCTCAGTCTGTAATCCCAGCGCTTTGGGAGGCTGAGGCGAGTAGATTATCTGAGCCCGTGGGTTCGAGACCTGCCTGGGCAGGCGAGACCTCATCTCTACAACAAAATAAAAAAATTAGCCGGGCGTGGTAGGGCACACCTGTAATTCTGGCTAATCGGAAGGCTGAGGCAGAAGGATCGCCAGAGCCCAGCAGGTCGAGGCTGCGGTGGCCTGGAGTGGCCACTGCACTCCAGTCTGGGCGACAGAGTGAGACTCTAACTCAAAAAATAAAAAAATAAAAATAAATTTATCAACTGTACTTTTGGTATAGCCAAGAAATCTCTGCCTACTCCCATGATCTTAAAATTTTTCTCTTGTGTTTTCTTCTGGAAGTTTTATAGTTTTAACTTGTCCATTTAGGTTTATGATCCATTTGTAGTTAATTGCACTTGGTGTGAAGGAAGGGTTGGGATTCCCTTTTAAAAAAAATTGAATATGCAATTGTTCCATTATATACTAAAAAGATTATTCCTGGGCCAGGCTCGGTGGCTCAACCTGTAATCCTAGCACTTTGGGAGGCCGAGGCGAGTGGATTGCCTGAGTCCACGGGTTCAAGACCCGTCCAGGCAACTTGGCAAGACCTTGTTTCTGCAATAAAAAAATATATATATATTATTCTTTACCTATTGACTTGCCTGGCACCTCTATCAAAAAGTAACTAACCATATATTTAGGGTCCTATTTATTTTCTTTTTTTTCCTAACCTGGAATCTCACTTTATCACCCAGGCTGAAGTGCAGTGACACAATCATGGCTCACCACAGTCTCAACCTCCTGGGCTTAGGTGATCCTCCCACTTCAGTCTTCTAAGTAGCTGAGACTACAGGCATGCACCACCATTCTCAGTTAACTTTTTTCATTTTTTGTAGAGATGAGGTCTCACTATGTTGCCCAAGGTGGTCTCGAACTCCTGGGCTCAAGCAATCCTCCTGCCTCAGCCTCCCAAAGTGCTGGGATTATAGGCATGAGCTACCACACCTGGCCAGCGGGTTCTAGTTCTTGACTAGTCTGTTACACTGACCAATATGTCTGTTAATAAAACACACAGTCTTGATCACTGTATATTTATAATAAGTCTTGAATTCAGTAATGAAATATTCCTACTTTATTCTTTTTAAAATTGTTTTGACTATGCTAGGCATTTCCACATATTTTACTTATTATTATTTATTTACTTACATATATTTTTTGAGCTGGAGTCTCACTCTGCCACACAGGTTGGAGTACAGTGGCATGCTCACAGCTACCACAGCCTTGACCTGCTGGGCTCAGGCAACCCTTCTGCCTCAGCCATTCAAGTAGCTACAGGAGCATGACACCATGCCTGACTAATTTTTTAAAAATTTATTGCAGAGATGAAGTCTTGCCAAGTTGCCCAGGCTGGTCTTGAACCCCTGGGCTCAGGCAATCCTCCCGTCTTGACCTCCCAAAGTGCTGGAATTACAGGAATGAGCCACCACACCTGGCTGCACATACATTTTAGAGTCAGCTTTTTGATTTATTTTTCTTTTTAAGCCCTGTGGCCAAGGCTGGAGTGCAGTGATACAATCACACCTAACTGCAGCTTGGGCTCCTAGGCTCAAGTGATCCTTCTGCCTCAGTCTCCCGAGGGGCTCAGACTACAGAGTGGCTAGGACTACAGGCGTGTGCCACCATGCTGCCCAATTTTTTGGAGTGATGAGATCTCACTATGATAGCCAGGCTGGTCTCAAAGTCTTGGCTTTAATCCATACTCCCACCTCAGCCTCTCAAAGTAATGAGAGTCAGCTTGTCAATTTCTACAAAAAAACTACATTATGGCCAGGCACGGTGGCTCACGTCTATAATCCCAGTACTTTGGGAGACTGAGGTGACAGAACTGCCTGAGCTCATGGGTTCGAGACCAGCTGGGCAACTTGGCGGGACCTCATCTCTACAATAAATCAAAAAACTAGCCAGGCGTGATGGCACATGCCTGTAGTTTCAGCTACTTGGAATGCTAAGGCGGAAGGATCGCCTAGGCCTAGCAGGTTGAGGCTGCAGTGGCTGGGAACTTTGCCACTGCCCTCCAGTCTGGGCAACAGAGTGAGACTCCAACTCAAAAAAACAAAAAAACTGCATTGAATTTATACATCAGTTTGGGAGAAACTACTATCTTAAAAGTATTGATATGAGTATGGTATGGTATATCTATATGCTTTAGATCTTTACTTTCTCTCAGCAATCTCTTGTAATACAGGTGTACAACTCTTACATGTATTTTATTAAATGTATCCCTCAGTGCCGGGCACGATGGCTCAAGCCTGTAATCCCAGCACTCTGGGAGGCTGAGGCGAGAGAATTGCCTAAGACCAGGGGTTCAAGACCAGCCTGGGCAAGTTGGTGAGGCCTCATCTCTACAAAAATCAAAAATTTAGCTCGATGTGGTGACATGTGTCTGTAGTTGCAGTTACTGGGAAGGCTGAAGCAGAAGGATCACAGGAGCCCAGCAGGATGAGGCTCCAACTCAAAAAAAAGCATCCCTAAGTATGTCACTTTAGTTAATTTTGTTTTAAATGTTTGTTCTTAATGTGTATGTAAAAATAACAGTTTTGAAATACAAGTCACATACTACAAAGGTCACTCTCTTAAATTTTTTCAAAATTTGTTTTTCATTTTTTGTAGAGACAGGGTCTTACTCCTACGTTGCCCAGGCTGGTCTCAAACTCCTGGCCTCAGTGAGCCTCCTCCCTCAACCTCCCAAAGAATCAGTGGTTTTTAAAGTATTCAGAGTTGTGAAACTATCAACACAATCTAATTTTAGAATATTTTCATCACCCGAAAAATAAACGCATGCATATTAGGAACTGGTCCTATTCCCCTCTCTTTTAAGCCCCTGGCAGTCACTACAGAGAGCTCACCTAGTACCCAAATCCTGCTTTCTAATACCGTTCTCCAAGGAAAAGAAACTAGGGCTCCTGGGAGAAATGGCTGACTCTATCACTGAAACAGAAAATATGCAAGGTGAGCCAGGAGCATCTTGTAGTGCCAGAAAGAAAATGCTTTAAAAAAAAGAAGAAAC